TGTGTGTGTGTGTGTGTGTGTGTGTGTGTGTGTGTGTGTGTGTGTGTGTGTGTGTGTGTGTGTGTGTGTGTGTGTTTGATGTACTGAAAGGTCATGCTTGTTAAAAAATAGGAGAACTTTGGCTAAATGTCATCTCCATGCTTATAAATACAAGAAATGTTGCATCAAACCGACAACCATTCTCTTTAATAAAGTTGAACTACATTCAGAGAAGAAAGACATATCTAAATAAGAATGAATTAGATGAATTAGATTTCATAATCATTCTCTATGTTCAGATAAATAGGGTTTCCAGTAATCAATACCAACCTAGTCTAGTCTTTGAAATTTAATGAAGAAAGAAATGAAACAAAATGAACCAAAATGATAAATGATTCAGTGTTAAAATGTGTTCATCGTCCAGTTATCCTTTTCGATTATAATAAATTGAAAATGCATGCAATGAAAAGTTACATTGTCTGTTTACGCATCCGTTTGTCTTTTTCAAAATGAGGTCATTTCACATAATCCATAGTAAGTCAGTCGATGAATAAAAACGCAAAGATTTTTTACAATTCAAAAAAGCTTAATATAGAAAGTCCAGCTAAGCATTAACCCGATTCAAAACTTACCTGCAAGCACATTATAATGGTATGCTTGTGTGTGTGTGTGTGTGTGTGTGTGTGTGTGTGTGTGTGTGTGTGTGTGTGTGTGTGTGTGTGTGTGTGTGTGTGTGTGTGTGTGTGTGTGTGTGTGTGTGTGTGTGTGTGTGTGTGTGTCACGGTACCTCTCTGTATCCTTGCACGAGTATGTCTGTGTACATTTGTACATATCTCTTTTTTTTTTCACATGTATAGATTTTTCTCATTATTCATATCTCGACACAGAAAACTTCTACAATAAACCAACCATCCCGCAGCTGATGATGATTAACGAATTACACGCCATAGCACTGTCTGAGTGATCGTAACCTAACACCACAAATTTCAGTCAGTGGTCAGACATACCACCTCGGTTCAGTGTTCAAAGTCCTTATTCCTTTACCTTGATCGAGGGGGGCAAATGATCTACACGATTGAACAGTAAATAAGTTTTGCATCTAACGAACTCCCATCTCATCCATTCAAAAAACGTAATTAATAATGCATGCATGTGGAAATTCGTTTCGTTTTCCTCCTTCTAATGAGAGTCCTTCCACCTTGTCTGTCTTGGGTCTCGAGTCCCGATGTCTGCTTATTATCAATACCATTTTCAGTTCTTTTTATTTTGTTTTTTGTTTGTTTTTTTGTTTTTGTTTTTGAAGGGACACAAACACGAGCTCGAAAAACGCTTACTGTCTTTTTTTTACATTTTTTTCTTATTTCTTATCACCATCGTCTTCTTTTCTCCATGTTTCTTCACTTTTGTCTTTCTTCCTCTCCGCACCTTACAGTGACTGTATATTTACACTAAATAAAGGATATACAGATGCCACGAACGCCAATGATTGTGGAATACAATTAACAAGATCTACAGAGGTCATGAAACAAGTGATTATACATTTCAAGACACTTTAAAGAGGTGTTTGTATGATTTTCACGCCTTCCGATTTTATTTTGTTTCACGTAAAAAGAAACTGTATTATTGCTTATTTCGGACAAAGTTGCTTATGGCACCAGTTATCACAACCAAAAGAATTATTTTATCGTGTTTTTTTCTTTTTTATTTATATATGTGATTTGCTATTGTATTTGCTCTTTCACTTTGTATACAGTTTTATTTCTTTGTTCCTCTTGCAAGTACCATTTCTTCATAAATAAATTCTATGGACAAAATACCACACAAGACCATTAATTTTTTTTTTTTTTTCACGTTACAGCCAAAAGGTAAATAAAATCTGCCTTATCAGTTATACAGCCTTACAGTAACATAGAAAAATACCTTTTTTTCTCTCTTACACTGGCCTCTTTCTATCTGGGATCGATTTAAATATCTTCGTTAATATTGAACGTGTGAAATATTATGTCATATGTTAAAGAGCTGTTTTCGGCAAACAAATAAGTCACAAGATTAAAAAAATAAAAGAAAAAGAAAATTATGATTTGCTCTGAATAACATTCACAATCTTAGAAGCTGAAATAAAAAGAGCTACAATGTGAAGTATCGTTTCGTGCTGAAATTAAAAAAAAAAAAAGAGAAGAGAGAAAGAAAAGGGGAAAAAGGGAAAGAAAATACCTACAAAAACGAAGGAAAATAGTACAGTATTTTCTTTGTTCACATAATTGCCACAGGATCCAGTCCCATTATTTTTGTTGAAGTTTGTGATGTAAGAGAGATATACATAGATAGACTGGAGCTAAAGTGAGATATACATAGTTAGACAGAACTACTGGGGAATAGGCAGCAGTACAGAGAAATTTAATGAAACAGAATAAAAAGTTAAGAGAGAGAGAGATAGGGAGAGCGAGAGACAGAGACAGACAGAGAAAAAGATAAAGAAAACGAGACAGAGATCAAGAAAGAACCAGAGCTATATAAACAA